GTGACTTTCAAGTCATGTCTTGGCCCCCAAATTCACCCGACCTTAATCCAATAGAGCATTTGTGATCCTACTTGGAAAACCAAATTCGTGCTACCACGCTACCCCCTCGCAATGTGAGGGAATTGCAGGACCAGTTGGTGAGCGCTTGGCACCAGATACCTCAGACAACCTATCAGCACCTTGTGGAATCAATGCCACGGCGGGTGCTAGCAGTTTTGAGGGCTAAAGGTGGTCCTACATGTTATTAGCAGGGTGGTCATAATGTAATGGCTCTTCGGTGTATTTTTATCTGTTACAGATTTCGAAAAAAATGTTAAGACACCTTGCTGTAGATTCATAAACAAATTTCTACAGGTTTTTTTTTTCTTCCTAAGATTTTTTTAGGGATATGGGGGGGGGGTGTCAAGAAGTCTGAAAGACAAGTGCTGCAGCAGACTATAAAAATGTTTCATAGCACCTTAGCATAATTTTCTTCCAGCAAAACTTTTTTTAATGAATTAAATTTATAATTATTTTATTTATTTACCCAATTTTTAAGAAAACATCATAGGAGTAAAAAAAAAAAAAAAAAATAAGCAGACATTTTCGCTTAAGCAGTTCCAAACACGACAAAAGAAATTAGAACGTATTTTATTTACAAGTTAAACCTACAAAAGTAAATTTTATATCATTTACACATTATGTTACGTAGTTAAATATTCAATTACTTGAACTTCAAGAAAAGATTAACTATTTAATATTAATCAGTGGCGGATTTATTAAAACGTCCCTTAAATTATCAGGGGTCTGTTCAGAAGAAATTTGGGTCCGTTAACGGACCCTTCACAAAATATTTTAACTTAAAAACGGACCTTTCGCAAAATAATTCATCTTTTAATCGGACCCTTCACAAATTTGTTTATCTTCATTATTGTTTTGTTAATCGAATAAACCCTTCCTAGGAAGGGGGGAAAGAAGGACAAATATAAACTAAGTTTTGTCTTCGGCTGACGCTTCTTCCTATATTCGCCCGATAATATTCTGTACTGAGCAGTATAGGCTAAATACCAAATGTATTTGTATGTTGCATCTCTAATTTAGTAGCAGCAATTGCTGTTTACTTTTTAAAATTTAATTATTTTTAATTATAATTTTACAGTGTTGAGCATAATCTTGTACGTCTTTACAATTTAAAAACTCATTGAAAAAGTTTTTTGCAATAACAGGACCCTATTTGCACACATTCACAAAAGCCGGACCCTGGTTGAAAGAATGTGACTTAACGTTTATTTTATATTCACAAATTACGAGTCAGTTTTTCATAATTTCACAACAACGGGATCTTTCACAAAATGTCTGGACAGACCCCTGATTATGTAAATATTTCTTTCCGTAACATTTGTTTTTCTAGAATTCGAAACAAAGAAAAAATTAAAATGAATATCTACTTAACTCCGTTATAATGAGTCGAAATCGTCAACAAATTGCATGCCTCAGAAAAGTTGTGTACCTTAAGACTCAGGTTAAATAACAAATACATGGAAATGGATCCATTACAAATTGTACTGTTAAGGCTGATCATAGAGGAAAAATGTTTTTATTTATCTAAAAGGATCCCTGTTGGCTGCCATTACTCAATCATCTTCGTTTTGATAGTTTTTACAAAAATATTCACTTCAAAAATCAGGGTTGCTAGTTCAAATCTGGGGAAAAAATTCCCAGTGTTTTTACTGTACATATCATACACACTATATAAAAACACTATCACTTATATAAGCTGTATTGAGCTAACACTATACTGGTTATAATAGCAGGGGTCTGTAGGGCAAACATTTTTTTTTTTTTGGGGGGGGCCTCCTCTGCTTCAGTACTTCAGCAATGAGAAACCAAACTTTATGGAGGTATTTAAATCTTTCACCTCATAACTAGAAAATTGACTAGAACCTGTTGTTGCTTATCTCGGAATCGTCTCTCCCATGAATCCGAACACCTCCAAAAAGTCCATAAAAAGACAGTTTCGCAGGACCTCATCTTTACCGAACCCCAAACGAGTCAGAATATGCGCAGGGGTGGCCATGTCTGTCGATCACCAATGACATTCAGGATAAGTTTTTGGCCCCCCGGTTGAAAATAAGGAATCTAGTGCGTGACTAGAACCTAAAATAGGTATCAAGCCCTCTTCCTCTTCAATGGTCAGTCGAATATCATTCTGACCATTTTATTGATTTTCTGACAACTCTATGTCCTTCATTAAAAGGATATATATAGCACATCTGAAGAGCGAAAATTTGACAAAAATGCTATTTAAGTTTATAATTAAGAAAATGTAAAAAGCAATGTTATTTTAACTAAGTTATTATTTTCTCTAAATTAACTGAATTAAAGAAGTATAAAACGGTCGATAATGGGATAACTGATTGTTAACTTTTGTCATCTAGCTGCGAAAAATTCATATCCTTGCTCACATTAGGGTGGAATTCAGCTAAAATTTCGCAAGTACGATTAAGGGGGGACTCCACCCTGAATATTTCAAAAATTCGAAATTTTTTTTATTCCTTTTTCGAATCTTTGTACCCTTCCTAACGTCTGTCTAAAACGAATTCTCGGTATCTAACTTCGTTTGGAAGTTATACAGGAAAATAGAGAGCTAAGCAGGTAGAAAGGCCCGTTAGGCCGGATTAGGTGGGGCGACATTCTTTTTGTGTCTCATCCATTCTGTTGGCTGTATATAGAAACTTATTGTTTGCATTTCATTTATCGACCCTTATATATATGACATTAAACCTTTTCCCCTACCATAAGTCAAAACTTTAAACTTGTTTTCCTCAAAACGCTGTTTTTTGAAATGGCCTAACGTTTTTCTCATGATCTATACAACATTTTATAACCGTCGTCGTTGAACAGCCAATGGGGTTTACGACTACTCATGTTCAACTCCGTAGCCTTGTCATTTTGAACCCAATCCAGAAGACAAGGGAACTCCTGGATCGAGTATTGGGAGACATTTGCCTTCGTGGAGGACATTTTAGATGGAGCTAACCCGCATTTGCGTTAAATGGAGAGGAAGACCACGAGAACCTTCCACGGTTAGCCTCACGGCAAGGGGACTCCAACCCGTCTACAACTGAGGATATTTCACGTCAGCACTGTGGTCGGTGCGAGCCGGATGCGGAATTCGTGTCGACTGGGATACGAACCCGGTTCGCGGCATTGAAAGGCGAACGCTCTATCCTCTGAGCCATCGCAGCTCTGGAAAATTTCAATAAAACATTGGGATAGCCTGATTGGTAGGGCACTGGGGCCCATGTCCAAGATTTCATGGGTTCGATCCATTGTATCATTGAAGGAGAATACGGACGAAGAGTTTTTCTCTATCATCCTGGTGCTTTTTGTTTTTTAATCAACAAAGCTGTTGCCAGTAGTGAAGCACCAAAAAAAAAAACTCACACACTGATGAAAACCAGCAGAAATAATATCTATGTAGATATGCATCAAAATTGCTTGCCTTCTGATGCACAATTGCAAAGCTGCATAACCAGAGGAGCCCAGATTTGCCAACAGAAGTCTTCATTTTTACGAAATGCTAAAGATTTTTCATTCCAAAAAAAAAACAAATTGATTATGCAGTATTGTACGTGAATAAAATTTTGTAGGGCTGAAAGTAAATCATTCATTGAATTTTATCCCGCACCAAAACATTTTGACTTCAATGTTAAATGAAACAAAAGAATTTTTAAAAAATTGTAATGAAAACATTTAAAAATGACAAGAAAAATGAATAGCTCTTTATTTGTGATCTTCTAAGGAAGACAGCAGCAACGGAATCACTTACTCAGGGTGCGTAGCCAAATAATATTTTTTAGCACTTTAAAAAAAAAAATCACAATTTGGTAGGATTGGAAAGTTTTGACAATTGACAGTTTTACCCTCATGTCAAAAAAATGTCCTCATGTTTTTGACAACTGTCAAAATTTTTGAATCATGTAAATCGAATGGCGTTTTCATACGCTACGGACTGATGATACGTCGGAATAGATTGAGGTTGAATTAATTGTAAAAACGTTGAATAGATCAATGTGGACAGTGTGTTTCTGCATAATTCGTAGCGAAAATCATCATGGTAAAGGAAAAATCTCCTTTTTTTAAAAGGAAAAATTAAGCACTTTTTAAAAACATCCAATAAAAACAGAAAAACATCCAATAAAATTTTAGGGATTTTTATAGTCATCTAACTAGCAAAAATGCAATATTTTCTCCTTATGATTGACATTAAACATGCTTGAAATGTTATGCATTATGTTTACTCATAATTTCGAGTATTAATAGGCATTTTATTCATAAAAGATTTTTTTTTAATTAATTTAATCTGAATAAAAAATAAACCAGTAGACAGGATCCGTATTGTGACCCGGGGCAAAAACTTCTTTGGGCTTCACTACTTCAGCAATGAAGAACCGAACTTTATGGAGGTATTTAAATTTTTCACCTCATTGTAGATAACGTAACAAGAAAATTGAATAGAACCTAATATAGTCCCTCCAATGGTCAGACGAAATATTGTTCCGTCCATCATGCAGTTTGCCATCTAGCTGCAAAAAATTCATATCCTTGCTGACATTAGGACGGAATTCAGCAAAATTTTCGCAATGACGATGGCTCAATTAAGCCCTTTGTATATCGCATTTTGCGATATGTAAAAATACAAGCTTTTGATTGGTCAAATGTATCCATTGTAATTGAGAAAATTTAGTTGAATTACGCCCTAGAAAGTCATGTATTTACGAAGTATAGATGTTTTGTGTTCACACGATAGAGGATAGATTAATGAAGATGTTAACATAAAACTGACGGATTTTACATCGTACTGATATTTTATTAAAAGAAAGTTCATTAAAGAATGAAACGTAAAATAAACTTTCTACTCGATTTGGGGCCCCGGGTCAACTGCCCCTGCCTTAGTCAGGCTCTGCCAGAAGAAACTGTCAAAAATCCCCATCCCATATAAGATGAAAGAGACTTACATATTCACACCTATCTTTGCAGAGTTGAGCAAGTAGATGCAAGAATCCGAGAATGGAGAACCAACTGCACCACAGCACAACTTCGTCCATGAACTGAACATTCATCACTCCAAAGATGAAGATAAACTTGTAAAATACAAAGTTCCAGAACTTGTCTTTGATGTGCTGAAAACATTTAACACTCTAAGAATTAAAATATTACAAACAAGCAGGGGTCTGTTTAGAAGACCCTTCACAAAATATTTTACATAGTGCAATATATTAAAAAAATACATAATTATATTGTAATATACATAATACACAGACAATATACGTATGAAAGTTTGAAAATAATTTATATACGCATACATGCATTTATGTAGGTAGGTACATACATTGTATGAATGTACGATGTATATACAATGTACGTTTACACGTACATAGATATATGGTTTGTACACGCAACGTATGTACATATGCACATACATAGATATCTATATACTTTAATACATATGAGCTTGTAATGGATATACAAAAAGTTATAAGTACAGACAATGTACATACAATGTATACATGTACGCATACAGAAATGCATGCGTATATTTAAATATATGTATATACAGTGTATGCAATTAAGTATAATATATAAGAATGTTGCTTATAGGTACATTATATGTACATAGTTCCCTTAAAAAAATGCATATATGTATGCATGTACGTTTACATGTACATAGATATTTGGTTTGCACACGCAACGTATGTACATATGTACGTATATATCTATATACTTTTTAATACATAAGCACATGCAATGTTACAAAATTTTTTATGTACATGCAACGTATGCCTGTATGCAAACATAAATACACGCGTACATTTAAATATATAAATTTACAATATATGTATGCACATACTTTGTGCTTGTATTAAAAAACTTTATAACATTCAAGTTATTAAAGTTCGTTTTAAAATTTGTTCTAGAACTATTGTTTTGGAAAGCAAACAAAATCTTACTTTAAATTCCTAAATATTATTTCCACATTTAAATTTTTTTTTTTTTTGCATAATCTAAAACATGTTTATGAACTATGATGCATTATGTTATAAAAAAATAAATTTGTTGTGTCAAACATTATGAAAAGGCCTGAAAATTATTTTTTATTCAAACAATTTTGAAATTATTTGGAACAATTTAAACTGACAACTAAATTTAAATATTGTTTGATTTAGTCATTTAACTTTCTGGAGATGTTATCAGAGGTTTTTACCCTTAACTTACACGTATGTTACTTAACTTATTGCATTGCATATATATTTTTTAGACATAAATATATTGTACTTATGTTCATGCAGTCATTGGATCATATATAGTAAAAATGTACAATATATGCATGTATATGTACATACAATGTATGTACAGTAAGAAAGAAAAAAAGATATCACCTTTCGATTCTAATGATCGGATTTTCACGATCTTAATGGTTCCTGGGGGTGACCTCAAATATGGTAATTAATTAGTGCTAACTATTAAGTTACGAAATCAGACACAAAAACGTACTTTCTCTCAATAAACAAATTCTTTTTTTGCATATTTGGAATCCTGACTTAAAATTAAATTTATTTAAATCATTTATTATTCCTCATTCTTAAATTTAAAAATTATAATAAACAAATAAATGTTTTGTAAATTTATATTTTGATTATTTAATATAAAAATTTATTCAGCGTAGTGTAGCAAACTCTTATGTATCTTTTCCTATCAGTTCTTTTATTCAGTTGGTTTGTAACAATTTCTTTTTACAAAAACTCATTAGTTTTATCATCGAATTTTAAATTGCGGGGAGGTATGTAGAGTACTAACTCACAAATTGCACTTTTTTTTTTTTATGATTCGCCGAAGTATTGTTAGAGATGCGCTCTTCGAAAAAATGATTTCAAATCTTCAAAAATGTTGATTTCTTTAACTATGTTGATGTGTGTCAATTGTAAAAAATACAAAAAATGTCAATATTTTGACTCAACCAAAAACATATTGCAGCGCACTGTGGGCCAGAAGACCATGATCTTTGGCCAAAATTCAAAAATTAAATTTTCAACTAAAATATGTGTAGGCAGTTTTAATATAGCCCAAATTAAGTATTCATAATCATTTCAAACATTATAATTTACTTTTTGGACCGACGAGAGTACACTGTAATGAAAAATATATTTAAAAAAAATTTTTTTAAGTGTAACTTTTAAATTTTTATTTCAGAAATATATATAGAAATGTCACCTTACTGTTACATTTTTATCAGAGTAATTAGTCTGAAATTATACTAAAATTTTTCAATGTGTTGGATTAGTTAATACTCTTGACAATCTTATAGTTTATATCTCATCATTTGACATTTTATTATGTTTGAATGACCTTCGAAACACAGTTCCAAAATGTTCCACGAGGTCATTAGCTTAACTTTTTTTTGTCGTCTTCTTTGATGTTTCTTCTTTCGAAAAAACCTGCCCCATTTTGCCCGTATTGCAAAGATGGACTAAATATGACGAAAAACAAAAATTATGTTTTTTTTTCCTTCATGTTTTCGCGTTATTTTGTAATTAATTCGAGTTATTTTGTAATATAACTTCGGAAAGATAATTTGCTTTTCATTTTTAATATAAAATGAAGAAAATTATTATATTTTCACTGCTATATTTAATTATTTAAACGTACTCATTTTTTTTATTTTTGCTCGCCTTATTTCAGCCACCATTTTTTTTTTTTTTTTTTTTTTTTTTTTTTTTTTTTTTTTTTTTTTTTNTTTTTTTTGCATTTTTAGTGTATTTCAAAATTTCAACTATGAATTCAATTTACCTGCACACATAAAATCCCTAAATAAAAAAACCCAAAATTTGAAACAAATTTCATCGAAATACAAATTTTGGCCACGAAACCTTGGATGCTGGCCCACTGTGCAGCGGATAGAGTTTAAATAGCAAGGTTAGAGAATGTTTAGAAAAAAGTTAAAAGATTAGTCATAATGATTTAGTTTTCGGCTGCTGACTAGGGTCATGGTTTCTGTTTCATCAAGGGAAAACTGAAGGTCAATGTGAAAATTATATAAATAACCATTTCAAAAATGTACATTCTTTGCAACATTTGTAAAATGACAAGTAATTTTCCGAATTAGAATTTTTAAACAAGTTGGCTACCTACTAATACTACTAGCTGAGTTTACTCTTGAAACTACTGATCATGCACAAAATAACCTACTACCCTACACGGGAGTTCAAGAATTTGCACTTAATAAAATTTGCGAATGATATTAAGTAAACGTGATATGATACTAAGAAAGAAAGAAAAAAAAAGGATATTATTTACACTCATTTCGTTAGTTTGTTAAAAATATAATTTAAAAAATTAAGAGAAAGGAAAATTGAGGTTTACAATACCCATAATTAAACAAGAGTAGCAACTGTTACAGTTTGATATTCCTCTCATGAGAACTTCTTTTGCCGACGATTTTGTCCTTTGTTTTATTATTAGTTAGAGCCAACTTAAGCATTCTTGTAATTTTTGCATTTTATATTTGAAATTCTATAATCAAATGACATGCTTGAAATGACCTCTAGTCAAAAAAATCGAAGTTAAATAGTTTCAAGGCCGACTGTTTCGAAAAACATTAACTACTTCGGTTCAATGAAACATTAATATTCATGTTTCCTTATTACAAAATATTATATCAAAATTTGTACTCATAATTTCTTCAAAACGTGTGTTACTATTATTATTATTATAACTATTATTATAGGTTATTTAAGTAGAAAAAAAATCCTAACGTTAGAAAAAGAACAATTTTTGAGAAGATTCTAAAAATAGAACGGTTTTGGAATCTTTTTACAATTTTTTATTTTAGCAGTTGTTTAACGAAACTAAGCATATCAAGCATTTTTTTGACATCGCAATATTTTTTTGAATTGTACTGAAGATGAGAAACAATATCAACTTTCTTAAGCAAATATTTTCAACTTTTTAAAAGAAAAAGGTAACTTTCTTAAAGTTAGTGGGCAAGAATAACTTTAAAAGTCAAAATAAAATTGTATGTCCATAGTTTTTTGTTCATATAAAAACAAAGCAAACTGCTGTATTTTTTCGCCGTGCACACATACGCATTTACTTTTCATTACTCAAATAAATAAGAAACAATAAAAAAAAAAGACAATCAATAATTTATCTCATTTTTCAAAAATAATAGTATGCTTAGTAAATAGTCAGCTTTATTGATTGTCTTCTTCATGGATTGACTTCAACATGGATTATCTAAAATAGTGTTGATGTTTTTTATAAGGAGTATAAAGCTGTCAAAAACGTAGCAGAAATTTTTAAGCGTCTTAAAATATCTCAGTATCTTAATTGTCATACTACTTTCTTAATTGTGAAATTAAATTTTTAATTACCTGGCCGCGTGTGATTCACTGAACCATTCAACTAATTATTTCATTATACCTTTTACTTTCCATTATACCATTATGTTATGACGTAGATTTTTTTCCGATAATGTACTAAACTATTTTGTTTCAATTTTTATTGATAATTAGAGGAGCTTTTTTTTAAATTAACACTCGTAAGTAATTGCTATTTTTTTAAGAGTCTCAGAACTAGCCAATTAGCTGATAAGCTTTTAAAAACATTTCCTAATGTTAAAATTACTCAGAGCAAAACGTCCGACTGATCGTTGTAAATACTAAACCCTTTTCTCTAAGATTGAACAAACAAATTATTTATTTATTTACTTTATATTTTCTTATTTTTTTTTTAGTTTGTGAAAAGTACATATTTGTGCAACTCATAAAATCACAACTGTTTGCCTTGTTTTTGAAAATGAACAAATTTGAACTGTAATTTCATTTTGACGTTTAAACTTATATAATACACAGTTAATTTTAAGAAAGTTGCTCTTTTACAAAAAGATATTGAAAAAATGTACTTTTGTAAAAATTATTTTCCAACTTTAGCACGATTCCCAATTTGATTTTCCTAGCAAATTATATCGTAATTTGTTATTAGGAAAATGCCTTATATTTTTTAAACAGTGAATACTAAAAATTGAAATTTCGAAAGCATACCAATTTTAGATTTCTCATCTGATTTTTAAAGAAACGCTATAAACAATGAGCAATTTTCAAACTTATATTGATAAAAAATAAAA